AAGGTACGTTCTATCGAAATAAGCGAAGCGCCCTATCACCAGAATCGACTACTTATGGAGAGAGCCTAGCAGTTTTATTTGTTGGAACTGAAAGGATTTCAGTTCGTGTCTATTAGCCCAGTCACCATGTGACCGCTAGATGACTGAGATTCTGGCTTTATAGTATATGTGGTGTACTTGCCAGCATTTCTAGTTTGTACATTGGCAGGAATGAGGAATAACCTAGAAGACTGAAGTCCGAAGGTCTATCAGAACATAGGTCAGATTCATTGCGACTTATCCCATAATCTCTTTGTGTTCGTGTTGAAAACCGACAAACAACCACGCTGAAGCTGCTGGATGTATGCTAATAGAGCCTAGCATGTTTAGAAGACTGGCAATTATGAGGAAATTTTTGTCTTGCAGTATAGCTGGATATAACTCATATTATACCGTTTTTGTGCTTGTGTTGTTATTACCCATTCTTTTTTGACTCTGCTAGAGTCGCCAAATTGGGGATGAAGTCGCAGCACTGTTGGTATTGTTCCCAGTCAGGTCTCTAAGCAACGCTCTTTGTGTGAACGACCGACAGTTTTTGCCACGTGGGCGTAATTGCTTATGTAGGAATTCCAGTTTCTTTGTTTCTACTGCTGCAGACCTCAGAAGTATGCAGCGTTTACCGGATTAAGTAGGAATAAATTATATTTAATTGAATCAGCAGAAATATGTTTCGTTAATTTGACATGACCTTCTAAGATCGCTTTTAATGAATCTCAAATTAGGCCCGTTGTTCCATTAGGAGTTGGAATGGATATATATGAACGTATAGAAGAACTGAAAACTGGCGTCAAGAAAGTTGACTCTGTCCTTCCCAAGCGGTGCTGTAGACATGTATAACAAAAAATTAAATGACATTCCTCTTCTCCCTGACGGGAATTCCTGGAGGCCCACGTGCATGGCCATTCACGCGTGGATGACGATATTGGCCTTCACCATGCACACCACACAGCAGTGTGCAAGCGATTGCTGACTGTGATGTACGACCACCGACGATGACGCTTGTCCATCGGGGGACCTCTTCGCACGTATCGATACGGACTGTTGGAGATATTCCTAAGTTTGAGGGTAAATGCACATCTATGATACGTGCGTAGAATTAATCACTGGGGTTGAAGGCGTACAAATATACCAACGTCAACAAATTGAGATATACCCTCCCCGATCCCCTGCAACTCCTAACCCTCAATTTTTGAGCACTACCAAAATTTTTCCGAAAATGATCAGGATCGTCTAAAATATTAAAACATGAAGTTTCAGTGATTTTTATTTATTTATTTTTTTTTTCGTTTTTGGCCTTTTTTTTCCCGCCACTAGGTCGATTTTCAAAAACCCCAAAGCTTTTGCTTAAATGAGTAACATGTTTTTTCGTGATGTTCATGTCATATGACATTCAAAAAACATACTCTCAGTTTGATCACAATACTTCCCCGCCAGTAGGCTTGGGAAGTAAAAATGAAGTGACGCAACGGCAAATCATTTAGAACAAATTTGAATGTTGTCCATAAGATGAAAGGATTCAATACCACAAAGTTCCACTGCCTCAGGCATGCAGGGAGCCGATGATGTCATATTCTTTGTAGTATTCATGATGTACTAGTATACATCTCATATTTCACCTCGTCATTGAAGCTGAATCGCCATGTAATATGTTCGTTGAACTTGAAGAGCTTCAGCTAGTAGATACTGGGTGCCACGTACGTACAAGATGAGTGGGCTTATAGGAACAGTGTGACGAGAGAGAAAAATGACTGCAGGCAGACGTAGAGAGAAAATCATCATTTGTCCCTTCTAAGGGTGAAAAGAGATTCTATCTGGCCCATGTGCTAGGAGGAGGATGAGACAGCAACTGAATTTCTAGACTTTTTCCCGAATAATTGCTGTCTAAAGGCTCAGATATTGAAGTTTGAGAGTGTAGTTGGTTACTCAGCCGAGTGTTTGGATATCCTGTCCTTCATTAGGCTATCAAGGTTCGATAGACAACTGGAAACGCATGTGGAGTAGAGTGTTAGTATACTCGGGGTCGGCAAAAAGAGCCAAAGGTGGCCTACTTGCCAGCCTAGCCCAGTTTCAGTTCACCTACGATGAAGTGAGAGATAAGGTGCAGTACCTCTTCAAAAACTTGGCGGCGAGCTGGTATGACATGGCCATTCAAAAACTGCCACAGCTTCTATAAAAATGCATCGACCATAAGGGCGATTATGTAGAAAAACAAACTTATAGCGAATTATCAAATATTGAAAATAAATGGTTTTTGTGTTAAAAAAGACAGATGTCCTTACTTTTGGGATGACCTACGAAGTTTCATGTATAGCACAGAATTCAAGTATTGCAAAAATGCTGTTCGAGATTCTGTTTCAAATGTATACACAAATGACAATGTCATATTACTGGATATTATTCAAGAGAAAATGTTTTAAAACTTAAGTTTTAACATATAAATTACCCACTTATCTGTTTAATTCTTTAGGGTCTTTTTACACAACAATGCCTATTCCAATATTCCAGTTCATACAACCTTTAAATTCAGCCTTATCAGTTGGACATTCCGGTTTTTATACTGCTTTTTTTAATTCACTAACGCTCTAAAAATGAATATTTCAGCCGCAGTAAAGAATCAACGTTGGCGGATTTTGGTTCTTGACATCCTTTACGATCGGTTACGATGCCTAGAGTACGGAGACCTGTACGATTTCGTCAACTTAGTGAGTTTGATAGGGGCCGTATAGTGGGACTTCGGGAAGCTGGACTTTCTTTTCGGGCAATTGCAGTTAGAGTGCAAAGAAGTGTAGACACTGTGGTTAGGTGTTGTCAGGCATGGCTTCGAGAAGGCAGTACGCAAAGAGCAAGGGGCACTGGACGCCGCCGTAGAACAAGAGACCGTGAAGATCGCCGCCTAAGATTATTGGCCTTAAGGGACCGTTTCTCCACTACCAGGTCCATTGCAAATGAATGGTTTGCAGAACACGGAAGACCTATTGGCATGCGAAGTGTTTACCGACGAATGAGAAGTTTTGGCTTGTTTTCATACCGGCCACACTGGGTCCTCCCTTTAACTCGAGAACACCGACGTAATCGCTTTGAGTGGTGCAGACAACGGTCACTCTGGGATCAGGAATGGAACAGTATTGTCTTTAGTGACGAGTCTCGATTTTGTTTAGGCATGCACGATGGTCGTGCCAGGGTTAGAAGGCGACGTGGTGAAAGGAGGAATCCACAGTTTTTTGTTGAAAGACATGTTCATCACACTGTTGGAGTTATGGTTTGGGGTGCTATAGCTTATGGTTCCAGGTCACCTTTAATCTTCATCAGAGGTAACATGAACGTGCAGCGTTATATCCACGAAGTTCTAGAACCCCATCTTTTACCCTATCTTGACACCCTGGCAGATCCAACTTTCCACCAAGATAATGCCCGACCACATGTTGCTAGAGTCACAATTGACTTCTTTCAACATAATGATGTCACATTGTTACCATGGCCACCAAGATCTCCCGACTTATCCCCAATTGAGCACGTGTGGGATATGATGGGTAGGAGATTGCTCAATTTGCAACGTCCTCCTCAGACTCTAGAAGCACTTCGAGAGGAGTTGGTGGTTGACTGGAATGAGATACCACAGGAGGACATAGACCACCTGATCAGAAGCATGCCTAGGCGCGTTGGAGAATGTGTAGCACATCAGGGTGCATCCACACATTATTAAAAGGTCAAAGGGCTTTAAAGCAGTGCAATCATTTTGAAATTTTTATCATTTACTTATTATGCTTCATTAAGTACTTATACAAAATTTTATTAAAATAAAACCATTTAAACTGGGTGTTCGGATTTATATGTCACTTAGTATATTTTGAAGGGATTTTTGATACTTTAGATATAAAACAAGACACCTTGAGTAGAATGGGTGACTGAAAATGGAAATTAATTCTTGAAAACACAGCTATTTCGCAACAGATCCTTATAAAATTTGTGTAAGCCTTGTTTCAGTTGTTGATTACTAATATCATCTCCATAGTACTAGTTCTTCATATACACAGGGTGTCCCAATACTCCGCCGTCATAGAAATAATACGTATTTCCAGAGACACGATAAGTCGATTGGTCATGATTTACCTATATGCAAAAGTGCTTTTCTTGTCCGTTAGATGGCGTAAAAGTTTTCTTTTTACAACAATAGTCCGTTTTGAATAAAATTTGGTTCACATATGTTTTGCTGGGCGTTCTAATATTTGATTTATACGAAAAAAAGCTCTGAAGGGTTGTAGAAAGGTGAAAACTACCCCCACCCCTACAAAAATTAAAGCAGAATTTTTCGAAACTTTCCTGACGATTTTTTTTATTTAGCAGATGTTTTTATCTACTTCATTTTTGTCTCTTATAAAAACAGGCCATCTTCGATAGTTTTCTAGATAAAAAAATGAGTTGCATCACGAGCTCATCAAGCATCTTATTAATTCTTTAAATGTAGTGCTAGCGAAAATAAATAAGTATATTACTTACTACAGTTTTATTAATTTAATTCAGGCAATAGTGCGTATCTTTCATTAAAGATGTGGTGTGACCACCATTTTCATTCCTGCACATAAAAATACAAGAAACAAGAAAATTTTTCAGAAACCAGCTCCGAAAGACATTTTTTTCTGAAAAACTATGAGAGATGGCTTGTTTTTATGGAAGGCCGAAAATGAAATAAATAAAAGAATCTTTTGAACAAAAAAAAATCAGACGTTGGGAGAGTTGCGAAAAATCTGCTATAATTTATCTAGGGGTGGGGGTCATCTTTACCCTTCTCGTAACCTTTTGATCAAGTTAAATATAAGAACGTGTAGCAAAACACATTTGTTCTAAATTTCCTGTGTAGTTCTTACACATACTCAAAAGCTCTGGAGATACTTGTAGGAATTATATTACTGTAAGATAACATTTCTTAAATATTGGTCAACTACTATTTTATAATTATCCAGATCTGTACGCTACACAAGCAGTACGCCAAACAGTCCAAGGCCCATCCTGGGTACGAAAAGTCCATTCCCCAGACCGATATTGGGTAGAAGAAGTGACACTCATAAAGACGAATTGGAAGAATACATTGGCAAAGAGTTCAGATCTATGACAAGAAGTTTTTCCAAAATGAAAACCAATGATGAACAAGAAAATAAAGAAAAAACAGAGACGACCAGTGAGGTTGGTGAAGATGGTGATACATGTTAATAAATCTTAGAGTTTCTGATTGTAATTAAATTGTTTTCGTAAGAGAATACGCTATTTTAAACTTGGTTATGAGTGTCTTTATTTCTCTATATAAACTGTAATATAACATGTCAGAAGGGTCAGTATACGGTGGTAAAAATATTGAAGCTCCTTCATCCCAAGTTTTATAATAAAAGCATGGTTTTAACAGCAAGAGGGAACGAGGTTGTACTACGCGTTTATGATAAAACCCGAGTCGGAAGAGTTTCAATGTCGTTATAGATCGACATTTTCCAATCGGAAAAAAGTTATTGCTAAGTTCTTATACAGGTAAATAAAAGCTTATTTTTTAAGATGTATTTTATTCTTTCATTTGCTTTCTTGGCTATGGGTGTTCTGATTGTTCGTAAGTGATAGACATTCTGGGACTGTCCAACGTCGAGGTACCACCTGGCGGATTTTTAAGGCGGGGCCAGTATGTGTGCATGTCGCATGTATCGCCTTATATCCTTCTTGGTGGTTCAAAGCATAAAAAATGTGTTCTAAAGGATATATGATCGAAACCAGAATTCGTTCGAATCGAGTTAACATGGTCGTAACAAGTGGTTGCATGCCGTTGTCTTGCAGACTATACAGTACCGTCTTGCAATTTCAAGAGCTTGCATGTAATTATCCTTGGACTATAAACTTATTCTTAGTAATATCTACATAGAGCAAAATCCAAAAAACGTTACATTTTAGATTGTTGTAACTGTGTCTGTGTATGAAGTATTATGAAACAAAAATAAAATACATGCATATAACTTTGGCAGACACTTTAGTTTATTTGTCATTAAACAAAACATTCTACTCAAACCTCTAACATTAAGAAAATATAAAATTCTAAGGACACCAGCACTTGACTCAACATACAAAAACGTGTTCAAAGGCTGTGACATAATCGTCTAAAGACTATTTGGCTCTTGGCCAATATACAACCGCCAGTATTTGGGGAGTAGAGGATTTTCATTGATAAATTCCAACTTATAAATATGAAACAATGTTAAAGCGGTTCGACGTCTATTCACTAAAATTACGAGCATATCCATGATATCATGATAGAGTTTAAAAATAGAATCGAACAATTTAATGACAAACAATTAAAGAAAAGGAAAATGAAAGAGTAATTTTCTCAGTTATTTGATCTTCAAAACTAGATTAAAAAAATTGTACACATTTTGGGGTAAACGTTTTTTATTAACAACTAAGCACCGTATGTGTTTTTTTTGAAGGTCATATCAACTAGGTTCCATTCAGTTCGTTGCACGTACTCTGGAATCTGTTTGTATTGTATTTTGCATTACGCGTTGAGGCTTAGCAGTTCAATTTTTCGTACTACGCGATGATATTTTTTAACAAATCAGCGATAATCTTCGGAGTATTAACGTGAACTTTGCATTTGCACGGGAAAATCCACAGAGATGAATTCGTCGTGGACCTGTAGTTCAGTTATTTAATCTCAACTCACTTATATTTAAGGTAATAATGAGAATTTCGGGCATAAGAGAATTGAGAGATATAGACTTATTGGAGAAAAACACATCGAAGATTTCAGAAAAAATGTTATTATAAAAAATGTAACATGTTTTGGAGACAAGAAAATTGGAAACACGAATCAGAGAGTGTCAATGCAGAGGGATAATTTTCGATATTTAAAATTTATTTTTTTTTTCAAACGACTGACAATTTTGTTAAATATGTGTGCACATTTTTTTGAATGCATAATTGTACTCTGTATCACCATCTTTACTTTAGAACTATTTTGAATCTGCAAATATTTATCTGCAAAACATGTTTCATTTATTATAAAAATTTGTAAAAACACGAAAATTAAATGCATTAGCTTTGTTGAGGAACTGGAGGAAAACTGCATTGGAACCATGAGTTGTAGTGGTGTAGATAAAGTGTTCTGTCGTGTTATGAGATCTCAGCCTAATATGTATTAATAGTCCAGGAAGTATCTATACGGTATCAGCTCGGAAAACTATTCTGATTTAGTTTTTTTGGAGAAACTTGTTCAAAACGGACTATTTCTAAAGAAGTTGCATGTAGCCTGTTTCATAATATTTTTTACTGATTGTTCATCCCATTTTTTTTCGCTCATGGCAATATGATTGAGTTTTTGGATTATCTGAACTTAAGCTTGATAGTTTTCGAGACATAAACTAGAGCGTCCACGTTGATTGTCAATTAAAAACAAAGATGTACAATAACAATACCCCCTAAAATTCTTTAGGATTTTGCTAATGGATGTTTGAAAAATATTCAGGAGCTTTGGCAAAACAATTTTCGTTTTTCATATTGTTTTCCGGGGTCGAAAGTGGCATATTATCTCACAGATTTTCAAACATTGAATTGTTCATAACAATCTTTTTTAAAAGGGTACCCAAAAAACCTAAAAAAAATTGTCTAGAACAAACAAAAATTTTTGGAATTCGTAAAAAAATGTTCAAACAGTTTTGGGTCTGGCAACATGCAGATTTGTGAAAAGAGGTCCTTTATGAATGAGATTATGCAACAAAACCTAATCAGGATATTTTTCTGGGTAGATATAATAATAATATCTATTATCCATCTGACATGAATATACATGTTTGTCAAAAATAAGTATCTACAAGCTAATGAAGTCACTGATGGCGTAGTAACATTTATCAAGTAAATAATCCTTGAAACGTTTTTTAAAGCAGTTGTTAGACTGACTGCACTTAATTTATTGATGAAGTTTATCATAAATTCTAGGTCCCAACATATACTAAGTGACATATAAATCCGAACACCCAGTTTAAATGGTTTTATTTTAATAAAATTTTGTAAAATGTACTTAATGAAGCATAATAAGTAAATGATAAAAATTTCAAAATGATTGCACTGCTTTAAAGCCCTTTGACCTTTAATAATGTGTGGATGCACCCTGATGTGCTACGCATTCTCCAACGCGCCTAGGCATGCTTCTGATCAGGTGGTCAATGTCCTCCTGTGGTATCTCATTCCAGGCAACCACCAACTCCTCTCGAAGTGCTTCTAGAGTCTGAGGAGGACGTTGCAAATTGAGCAATCTCCTCCTACCCATCATATCCCACACGTGCTCAATTGGGGATAAGTCGGGAGATCTTGGTGGCCATGGTAACAATGTGACATCATTATGTTGAAAGAAGTCTATTGTGACTCTTGCAACATGTGGTCGGGCATTATCTTGTTGGAAAGTTGGATCTGCCAGGGTGTCAAGATAGGGTAAAAGATGGGGTTCTAGAACTTCGTGGATATAACGCTGCGCGTTCATGTTACCTCTGATGAAGATTAAAGGTGACCTGGAACCATAAGCTATAGCACCCCAAACCATAACTCCAACAGTGTGATGAACATGTCTTTCAACAAAAAACTGTGGATTCCTCCTTTCACCACGTCGCCTTCTAACCCTGGCACGACTATCGTGCATGCCTAAAAAAAATCGAGACTCGTCACTAAAGACAATACTGTTCCATTCCTGATCCCAGAGTGACCGTTGTCTGCACCACTCAAGGCGATTACGTCGGTGTTCTCGAGTTAAAGCGAGGACCCAGTGTGGCCGGTTTGAAAACAAGCCAAAACTTCTCATTCGTTGGTAAATACTTCGCATGCCAATAGGTCTTCCGTGTTCTGCAAACCATTCATTTGCAATGGACCTGGTAGTGGAGAAACGGTCCCTTAAGGCCAATAATCTTAGGCGGCGATCTTCACGGTCTGTTGTTCTACGGCGGCGTCCAGTGCCCCTTGCTCTTTGCGTACGGCCTTCTCGAAGCCATGCCTGACAACACCTAACCTTAGTGTCTACACTTCTTTGCACTCTAACTGCATTTGCCCGAAAAGAAAGTCCAGCTTCCCGAAGTCCCACTATACGGCCCCTATCAAACTCACTAAGTTGACGAAATCGTACAGGTCTCCGTACTCTAGGCATCGTAACCGATCGTAAAGGATGTCAAGAACCAAAATCCGCCAACGTTGATTCTTTACTGCGGCTGAAATATTCATTTTTAGAGCGTTAGTGAATTAAAAAAAAGCAGTATAAAAACCGGAATGTCCAACTGATAAGGCTGAAAATTTGTTCACTTGTTATTTACAGTAAGATAAATACATTCACCAACTTTTATTAAAATAAAACCATTTAAACTGGGTGTTCGGATTTATATGTCACTTAGTATATTTGGGTACTTTCTTGCAAAATTATATTTGGCGACAGGTATAATATGTAGATGGACGCTTTGTCTTGTACTGACTCCATGGATATGCTTATATAATAAAAAAATATGTTGATTCGAGAAGGTATATATGGACATTTCGAAAATGAATAATGAGGGTAAGGTGATTATACGGAATTTTTCGAACAAACACCTACAACTATGCCTAGAGTCCACACCTGTCATACATCTTAAAACTCTTTTTTGACACATAACGACATGATTGACAAATGCGAAACTACTTAAGTGAAATTAGCTGCCATGATACTTACGTGATACATATCGAAATCGACGAAGCATTCACGTCATCTACTATGAGCGACGCTGTCAGACTCAAAACGAGCCATATTTGCCACCTCTGGAAGAAGATTTGAACTTTTTTTAGTAATGCTATTTCTTAATTTGTGAATGTCGAACAGTTATTAATAATAAAAATATGAACAATTTACCATAGCTTTGTCACCACCACCTCTGCGTTGTTGACTGCGTTTTTCACCCCAATGCACAAGCTTTTATACGTCCAGCAAAGTGGTCTCGTTATTTTTTGTGTTATTTACAGCTCGAATTCATTTTATGGAACCATTATGATTTGTGACAGGGGAAAACAGGTTGTTATTGGAAAGAACGGAAATAAATGTATACGGGTTTCCTTTTCGCGGACAAAAATATATCACAGTTATTGCATTCGTTTGTTGATAGAAATTGGGTATAGCTCCGGATGATTCATATTTCCGGATCTTGTTAACACATAAAGATTGCGTCATATTGTATCATTGGACATGAAATTTAGCTCAAATTTACACCAGGCTTTATACCTTTTAAATATGATGCTTCGTCTTGGGATTTTCTCCAAAATTTTGTGACCAATATTCTGTCGATGCGGGACTCTTACAATTGCAGAGATGTATAAAGCCGATTGGCGAAACTTATACTTCATGAGGGTAAGTGTCCAGAATTATTTAGAGGAGAACCACCTGTGCCGTTGATTATCATCCCCTTCTAGGAAGCGAGGGACAAAGATACACTTCAGAGAAAGCATGATTTATCATGTGTCACATTGTAAACTGTTTTGTTCATAACGCTTACACTGGAATCGAATCATTACACATTTATTGAATTTTAAAATCAAGCTAGTACCTTTCCGTTAAAATCATGGACACGCCACTGACTGCAGCATTTCTCGTTACTTTCGGACGTGAGTATATTATGTTATGAACTTTGTGCATATAACATGGTGACACAGTTTGTATACCAATTGCCTACAATACAGCAATAAGTAGGTTTCAAGACCAAGGAACCAGTTTTGTCATCTTTTTCGCAGAAAAATATAAACCACTTTCTAAGCTCCTGAACAACGTTTTCTTTATTATGTAAAGAACGCAATAAATTCTTAAATTAGCCTAATATTGATCACAATTATATAAAAATGTACAAAACTAATCCTTCATATATATGTAAGAAAGTTACATCTAAAAACAGAGGTAGTAGATGTTATAAATTATAATCTAGTATTGATACTATATTGATATCTGACTCCAAAAAAGGTTAGTAACTTCCTTGCCAGGGGTGTGAAGTATTAAAAAAAACGAAGGAAAAACCTAAATATTTCATCAGCATCACCGAAAATTAGTGAATAAAAAAATAAATTGTGGCGAATAGCATAACAGGATAAGACAAAAGTTACCAAAGTGTTTCAATGAAAAATGACAATAAGCGGATAATCGTAAGCTACGAAACAGCTATAGCTTGCGTTTTACATTATGTATAGTAATAAGCTAGACTTAAAAATTAAACATATATTTAGGACAAACTGACTAGAATATTCACACTTCATATCTTATATAGCTTTATTAGGTAAATATGCGTTTTTGAATTCTATAGTTAGGATGATTTACATGAAAACATTAACAGTCCCAGCGAATGTTTGCTCAAAAGAACCTCATATTACTTTTAAAGCCTTTTTGTATTTGCAAACAATATAATATCGGCAGTACTAGGTATTCCTACAAAAGTATCAGGAATGGGTAATAGTACATCTTCGTTTCTCAAAAGATCTAAGAGATACTATTGGTTTTTAACCTTTTCATAGAAAGTAAAAATTGCTGTTACTTTTTCATTTTCTATTTCCTAAACTGAGGATAGATATTTCATTTTTTTCAAGATGTCAATTATTTGAATTTTGACGTTTTATTACTAGGTAATACCAGTTTTGTAAGTCTTCGGGGTACACAATAACATGCTTAAAATATGCCTGCGAAGATGTCGACATACGTTTCATATCTTGAAAAAGTATTTTTTCTAAGTTTAAATTCAATCAAATTTGTTCAAAAATGGTGCTATAGAGGTAATATCTTCACAATCAGGAATTAGTTTTCCTTTGAATTTTATGCAGGCATCTGCGCACAGTTGACCTTCAAAGTAGGGGCCGAACATCTTTTTGCATTGAGCGCAGTTTCTGATGCATGTTCCTGAAACAAATAATTCCAAATAAGGGCTAATCGTTAATTTTCAATACGAATAATGTAACACCTGAAACTTATCCTGTGGTTTTCCTGCTGATAATCCTCCATGTGGGCCTGGCCACTAAATCAACCACATATGATGATATGTTTACAGACACTTTCAGGTCCAATATCTCAGAATCGAGATGATAATTGCCCTTCAAACTAGCAATTTTTATGAACTTTTAAGTGAATATCAAGTTCCTTGATAAGTATACAAATTTTATATTACCTAAAATTATTAATTATTAAACCTCATAATTATTGGACTATTCTCCCTATCTATGTGGATCTACCATGATTTCTATGACACCCAAGGTATTTTATATTATTTTTTGGAAAGAGTTGCCCTACATGTTTTTCGACATTTCAGAAAACCAGCGCAATCAAAATATCTTGAAAAATATTTCCTTCCAGACTTCGACTAATACTTTTCTGAAACCAACAATCATTTGAGGTTTTGATCCTGAACCAAAATCACTGAAGATTCTTGATTTGGACTAATAGTAAGTGAAATATCAATAATAGCTGACTTCAAAATGTTTGTCCCAAGGAATTTTTTTGACTATTCACCAATTGCATAGAATGTTGCACAAAGTGAAAAAACTTAGTTAGTTATTTAAGGAGTTTGACTTCTTCAAGATAGTTTTCTACCGCGAAAAAGTGTCAGTTCGCAAAACAACGAAAAAGAAGATTCGAGGACATTCATTTGTTTTAGATCACTGGTCTGACTGCTAAAACCTGCAAAGCGTTTTCGTCCTTGGCGAAATAGTAAAATTCTTTAAAAAATGTATCGAAATAAGAAAGTATTTTCCAAGCTATTCAGGCACAAGGTACATTATTTTACTTGATGTTCGCGTAGTCCATAAGAGACAATACAGATTTGAAAATTGTTCATGCTTACTGTACTTCCTCCTCAATTGGCGTCGAAAGTTATAAGATTAAGATTTTCTCTTAGGGTGAAAACATTTAATATTCAAGAAAACTAAAAGTGTTGGTAGCCTGGAAAGCGCTCATTTCTAACTCCCGGCGACGTAATTTTGAGTAGAATAGAAAGACGGAGTGGCATCCTTATACAAAATATTTGAACACAGTTCCTGTAGAACGGCTGTGAAATAAATGAAATTTTAAAAAATTACTCACCCACAGGATTCGCTCCGGTAGGGATGCTGCAGATCAGGACCAACATCAACGAGGTTTCCAGAGCAAGCATCCTCCTGAGGTCTCCCATTCCAGGCTGCATGTAAGCACACAATTACGTCAAATTTACAGTCCTGTAGGAACGTTCCATTCCTATGCAAGTCCGAACCCAACAATTTCTACTATTGCCTCAAATGCAAATAGTTCAGGCCCCAACTATGGACATAATAAAAAGAAAAAGGAAACAAGTTATCGCAAACGTGAAGACATAACCACTAGCGCGCGAGTGGTGACACAGTCTGTCTTTAAGCTGTTTCAAAACAAAGAAGACTGAAGTGATTCCCAGCTATTCCAAATTTGGATGGATAATCAATACGAAAAGTCGAAATACATCTACCATCGCAGACTGATCATGATTCTATGCTTGTTTTAACTTTTACTTTTCGTGTACGCCTTCCTCTGGTATTAGCACGGGTGATCAGTGCAAACAATTAAATAAGAGCAAGGGTACTACCCAGTAAACATGAATAGGTATTTTCACATTGTACGCTTTAGAACCTGAAAGATATCCCAATAAAGCATGTTCTCAACACATACTGTTCACAGCTCTTTAAAGCATATTCTACTGACGGCGGTTCTAAGAATATGCGATCTAACGGAACGTTCATAGCATATTCCATAAGGGATATCAATTTGCTCACATGCTAAGAATATTCATTTTCAAGCCGACGCACAATCTTCTTGTTACATGACAGTAGCATTCCACCAGGTAATAAAAAATGGCGCCAAGAATATTGATCTATACTTCCTACGCCTTCGTTAGAGGTTTCAAAGAAAATGGATGAGTCTCGGTCTCTGCATATCGAACTATCGGTTTGTTCGTACAGTGGTCGGTGACTTGTCGGTGATAGTGTCTGTCAAATCTATAATATTTATGTTTCCATGGCAGATGTAGAGAACATATGTGACTTATTATGCTTAACAGGTCAGTGACGACATCACCGCAAACCAGTTGGAGTTTGTTACCCATTGCACAGTCAGCAGTGGCCTCCACGACGAAACTTTTTAAATAACTGTTTTGTTGATTCAGTTCCCGATAACCCAATAAATGAAACACTCTTAGAGTACTATAACACCAACATGCTACCAAATATCAATGACCTATTTCAGTTTGTTACCGAGGAAAAAGTCTTGAAGACATTTCTAATAATAAAATCGCGTGCTACCGGACTAGATGGATTAAATATAGATACATTTTCCTACATTCTTCCTTTTTGTCTCAAGGCTCTTACTCATATTATAAACTTTTCTTTGGAACATGGTATCGTACCGCTCATATGGAAAGCTGCAACTGTTATTCCCGTTGGTAAAATCGATAATCCCCAATTGCCTTGCGATTTCAGGCCTATAAGCATACTCTCACTCTTGTCAGAATTCTAGAAAAGATCGTTCAATACAGCTTCCTTACAAATACACAGTTGGGATTTAGAAAAAATCATAGTACTGTGACTGCATTAGTTGACATTTGTGATGACTACTTGAGAGCTATAGATAATTCCTGCGTACAACTGTTCTGCTGGATTTGAGAAAGGCTTTTGACTGTTTAAACCACAAAGTGTTATTAGCTAAGTTGCACTTTCTTGGTTTTTCTGAGAACTCGATTGCATGGTTTGACAATTACCTATCAGATCGACTACAACAAGTTAAAATAGGCAGTGACTATTCTGACAAACGGGTCATTGTAAAGGGGGTGCCGCAAGGTTCCATTTTAGGACCACTGTTATTTACTTTATACGTGTCGGACTTGGATCGGTCGGTCAAATATTGCGCCTTACATTCTTATGCTGATGATACCCAGCTTTATCTATCTTATGATCCCTCCTCATATAGGAAAAACTAGTACTTGATTTAAGCGGCGTTTGCGATTGGTTTAGATACCACGGGTTACACATAAACTGTAGCAAATCGGCCATAATTACCTTCCGCTCTAAGAAGAACGAGTTCAGTGGAGATGCTATAAAGCTATGCCTCAATAGTGAAGAGCTCACACACAAAATAGCGGTATTAAACTTGGGAATAATTTTTGATGAGCACTTAACTTTTCATGATCATATTTCTAGGGTTGTACAGAGATCTTTTGCTAAACTAAAAAGCATCTACATCTTTAAGCACGTGTTGTCTCAAGATACTAAAATTAAGCTTTGCGATTCAGTCATTTTAAGTAAGATATAATATGGAAGTTCCGTGTTGGGTCCTTGTTTGACTCAAGCCGAAGCTTACAGACTTCAGAAAGTGCAGAACAGCTGTATTAGATATTCTGTTGGAGTCTGAAGAAGGGAGCGAGTGTCTCCATTTATTCAACAAGTGCATTGGTTGATGATGAGGCAGAGGTAGTTGGTTCATATTTTATGGTTGGCTCATAGCATTTTACTGACCAAATACCCTATATATTTAAATAATAAATTATCATTGAGAAGTCAGCCTCATGCAGCCAACCTCCGATTCGTTGGTTATACCCTTAACACGCCGTATCATAGAACCACCCTATTTACTAAGAGTGTCTCTTTTATTGTACCCTATCGCTATAATGTGCTCCCTGCCAGCTTTAAAGACTTTCAGGTCAAAAGTAAAAAAAAATGTTTTTGAAAATATATCATAATTCTTTATATTTTTTAGTTTTTTAACTTATGTAATGGTGTATCTGTTATCTGTGACAGTATCTGATTTTTTTTAATTGAAAAAATGCCTATTCGTGTTATAATAGATTTTTCATTATTGTTATTCAACACAACATTGCTTATGTCTCCCCAAATTTTGTATTATAATTTTGTTTGGTCCTAATACCCGCCAGGTTAAATAAAGGTTATTATTATTATTATGTATCAGATTTCTATCATTTATTTTTACCGTTGTTACCGAGATCAGATGTTTGTAATAATAGAACGTGTTTGACTAATACTAAACACGTTACATTTAAAACCCCCTACCCCCTACAATCCCCAAGATCCAACCCCTACAGAAAAACTTCCGAAAATTATCAGGAACCTCTAAAGCGTCGAAAAACGATTTTCAAAAACTATAATGGTTTTTCATCCTCAGCATAGAGTAACCTTGTGACAGGCGGAAATGAGTGACACGTTTTTTCGTGATGATGCTAAGCCATCTAGTGGTCCAGACGGAATCCCGACATACATTGTAAAACACTGCATTAGAGCTTTTGTTAAGCCTCTTTGTCAAATTTTCAACAAATCGCTTCAAGATGGTGTCTTTCCGGACTGCTGGAAGGCCTCCAAGGTCTGTCCTATTTTTAAGAGCGGGAAAGTGAGTGATTTAAAGAATTTGAGATGCTGCTTTATGAATATATATATTGTATATATATATATATATATATATATATATATATCCTAGTATAAGTAACATGTTATCGGAAAAACAACATGGATTCAGGAACAAAAGATCGACAACAACTAACTTATGCTGCCTCATGAATTATCTCCTTTTTGCTTAAAAAAATGTATAAATTTGGGTTTTCTGACGGCTTGTTGATGTTTTTCCGTTCCTATTTATCTGAACGCGTTCAATCTGTGCAGTACAATGGCTTCAAATCGGAATCATACACACCAACTACGGGAGTACCGCAAGGTACTAACTTGGGCCCCCTACTATTTTTAATTTTTGTTAATGATATCAACCATATAATAACAGTAGAAAACCAAATGTTTGCGGATGACTTAAAAAATTACTCAGTAATTCATGGTCAAGAGAGCTTGATTTAATGATTAATCCCAGCAAGTGTAAAGCAAACAGTCTATCATACCATATGATTATATGCTGGACAATCACATACTTGACAGAGTACAGGAAGCAAAAGACCTAGGCATTACTATTACTGCGGATCTGTCATTTTCAACACACTTGAATCAAATAGACAAACCAGTTGCACGTATGCTTGCATTCATTATTAGAAATTGCAGATCTTTTACTAACATAGAATCATTGACAATACTGTATTTCAGTTTAGTTAGAAGCTTACTTGAATATGGTTGTATCGTCTGGTCTCCTTTATATTTACATATATATCTAAAGTGAAATTTTTAAAATATCTATATTTAAAAGCATATGGTGCATATCCTCCATTCAACTATCCAAAGAAGAACCTTTTAGATCACTTTGGCATGGTCAGTGTTGAACAGAGAAGATTTTTGTTAAGCTGCTGCTTTGTGCATAATTTGCTAAGCAATCAGATTGACTGTAGTGAAATTTTGTTGAACTTAAGCTTTACTGAGCCTAGGCTGAATAGTAGGAACTACACCATGTTTTATCTTCCAAAAGCTTCAACAAATATTATGCTAGCATTCCCTTCATACAAAATGTTGAAATGCTTCAACGAGGTTAGTCATCTCTTTGACTTTGATGTGAGCGAACATATATATATATACAGGGTGACTTTGAAGTTGAGTCATTAATTTTCAGATAATGATTGTAGAAGGAAGATAAACCAAAATATGTGTGTAAAAATAAAAAAAAAATCAAAAAAAAATGTTACCTTGTTTTATAAAGTATCCTCCCGACAAGTATTTCAGTGCGGACCTGTATTTGATCGTGCGGTCTTGGAGCACCGGCATGCCCTCCCCTGTGAGGTCTTAAGTCACCTGATTCACGAGCCCTTTGTACTACATTAACAAAGGCACGAGGGGTTCGTTGCACTCGATTGAGAAACCGATTCGCACAAATCCGTGATGCCGCGGCAGCATTTTGTAAATAAGAATCATGTCCACAAGTTGAGCATTTTCGTAAACATGTGCCATTTTTTATTTCGTTTGAGCCACGCAACAAACACCACTATTCACTCACGCGTTACCGAATGACGAAGAACATCGTGATAAACGTTTCAAATTCATTCGCTTTTTTGTTTCCGATGCGACGAACGGATAAGGCGGATTATATCCGTTGTTGCCAAACACGAGCACATAATATTATTATTGAGACAGGGCGGTACTCAAACTTCTAAAGGGCTATAACTTTGTTACTTTAATTTTACCAGAAAAATGTTAAAGGAAAAAAACATTTCTTTTGATCAGATCTCTCACTGTTAAAATAAATGACTCAACTTCGAAGTCACCCTGTATATATATAAAAGAAAAATATTGTCATATTTAAAAACCGTTCAGTGACGTAAACTATTTTCAGCCTTCCAGAACCTTTTAATCTTAATCTTTATTTATTTTAGCAGTAGAAATAACTTTCCGAAATATATTAATTTGCATGTGTTACTACTGCACTGATGGGGCTTTGTGTTGGATTTCTGATACACACACATACGGTTTTTTTCAATCCATGATATTATTTTTTGTATGTGTGTCTATTTGCTTTTCAACACCTGTATAGTGTTTCTCTGTAATTAGATCTTGTA